CTACACTCAAAAGACTACACTCAAGATGTAAAAACAGTGAATATTTCCATTAATCTTTCTGGACAACGGACTTTTGTTTTTCTCATTCTCTTGTTTCCTCCCATTTAAGCAGCGAATAAAACCCTCAGGACAGTCATGTTTTCTACAACGACTGTGATTCTCTCAATTTTAAAAGGGCGCCGATCTCATAACAGGATTCAATCCTGGTCATTGCTCTGTGTTTTCATTTATATAAGCAGAGCACTTGGACACATGCAAAAAAGCACTTTCTTGCATAAAGACCACACCTGTTTCAGTGCCTCCGGCCTCCTGCTGTACCTCTGAGAGTGTGCAGGTTATGGAGGGAACCTTCAGTTCGTGCTTAAGGTGTAGTGAGCTGATCACATCAGCCAATACTAAACCTTCCCATCACATCACCAGCATCTGACTTGCAGCATGTTGTCATTACTGATGTAGCCACAACCATCATCGATCTGTTCCCTCAACACTCTTCCTCTTTTTCATTTCTCGATAAACCTTAGAGTCTGCTTCTGTCCTTCATTTAATACTGTTTAAACCTTTTTTATTAACTATTTTAACTCAGGAAATGAAGGATGATGGAAAATATTTCTATCACGGCGTGTAAATGTTATATGAGATAAAGTAATGCGTGGATGATTCATGTTTGAAAGTGTGAAAATGTGCATTGAATGGTGAAATGCCTTGTAATTATCCATTTAATGCAAAGATGAACCAGGTTCATTTGGTGAAAGAAAGATAAACACAGCATGAAACCATTTTTAAAAGTTAAATGCATGAGAGAAGAAGTGAAAAATCTGAGTTTATTGATATAATGTCATCGATAAAATCATTCGACCTGGTGAAAAAATTCGGGTTTCCCCAAGCAGGCAATGAAAATATATGGGAAATTGTAAGATCAGCTAGTCAGCCAATAAGGTGTCACCAAAAGGTTAAACTATTGTCCATATGATAATAAAATGTTATTATTGGTCCCATCTTTTAATATTTAGGCTAAAATGGACTCCAGACAGAATTCAGTTGAGTATTTGTAACATGGCTGTAAAATAAGTGGATTACCACAATGGTTTGTAGTTGACACAGATGTTTAGATATATAGCTCTGAAGGAAAAAATTCTATACAATCAACAAATACATGGAAAAATGGAAACTTAAATCTTACCCTAAGATACTGGGAGGGCAAACTGCAAAAGAGCCATGCGAGGAAATTAGTTTTTTCTCATGTAGATAACATTGTTTACAAAGGTCAAGATGCACACACCATGACATCATGACCCGTGACAGGCAAAGTGAGCAACGCTGCAATATCGTGCTGAAAAACGTGTATCCTGGTCACACATAGACTTCCCTTTGACAAATATCTAAACATTTTTCACAGACCAACGTCCTCTGATCTGATAGCATCTGTGGGACTTAAGGCCAATACGAGAGGGAAACGGAAATGAATAAAATATGTTGAAAATAACATCAAACAGCTAATGAAACAGGAACTAACCAGGAGGAAAAACCCCAGAGACATGAACTCTCTGAGCAGAATGTGTCATGTGACACTGGAATAGCACACAGCACTTAGCTTAGAGTTAGCATTGTAAGGAAATGTGAAATTTAAAGAATGCACATTACATATTGCATTGCATATTTACAATGTTCAATGTATATTTCCTTAATTACTGAGTGCATAAACTGAAGTATGTGCTCTTATATATACTCACATAGATTATTTTAGAATATTTTATTGCTTAGTATTAAAAGCTGCTTAGGTAATGTGTAACACTTCACATAAAATACAACATCTCTGATGTGACTTTTCTGCTGGAGGCATTGGCTCAGATTCCATTTAATCATATTTAATTCTAGCTACACAATGCACTTCATCCCATCTTTAGCTCTGCTTTCATATACGATTGATTACAGATCATGTTTTTTTTCAATTTTATGTTCCGTTGTGACATTTAGTGTGCCCGTAAACAGCCATCAAATTAGTGTCATGCACCTTCTTGCCACAATCCACTGTGGTCTGTGTGAGCACGCCCTGCTGCCAGTTTCATGGAGATCAATATTTGAGAGGCAGCAGAGGTGGTTTGTGTCTCTGTGGGACGGGCCGATACAGTGTCAACTCTGGAAGATTGCTAGGCGAAGTTGCTTGTGACCCTGGGATGACCGGAAAGCACCGATATGTAATAACAATCTTAACCTGGAGTTCCAGCTGACATGTAGCAGAGTTATGAATATGACGGAAGCTTCAACCTTTCACCTCACTGGAGCTTTCCAGAAAGAAGAAAAGTAAAAGCAGAGAGGATTAGATCGTTAAACTGTTCAGCTCTATCTGACTCCAGTTAAAAGACAGACTTGGATTCATAGAATTATTCTTGGAATATAAGTTTAAAAGAGAACCATGCTCCTTTCTACGTCTGTTCTGGACAATGGTGCAGAGTGAGATGTTGATTGCAATATTTTCTATATCAAATTCCAAGATGAAACCGTCTACCGTACATACCATCCAGTTCCAGGCCAGAGCTCACGTTTTTTAATCTTTTCCCTCTGAGTAAGAGCCATACTTTTACAGAGCTTAGTATGGACCATTGACACCATGGACAGCAGTTTTTCATGCAGTACAATTCAGTTCCATAATACTTCATTAATCCATCCATCCATCCATTATCGTCACGCTTTTTCATAATGGGGCCACGGGGGGGACTTGAACTTCATTATTCCATCATAGAAAATGATTGTGATGCACTTTTATTTGTTACCAAATTTATTATGTTAGTGTGTAAGTAATGCTTCTTCTAATGAATGCTTCTTCTGAAACATTCTGAGATTTTTTGTGACTTTTGAAGGTTGATGATAAATAAAAGTACATATCCATTGTAGGTTTGAAATCTCATTATTTTGTAAATTCTTTTGAGAAAAATAACATACAATTCTATCCAAAGTTCCATTTCTTATTTAGAGCAATGTTCAATTCATATGGATCTCACTGGTCAAGCCTCTAAAAGGCACCAAAGCTTCCTCATATTAAAAAAAGTGCAGCTGAAGTGGATGCAGTGATAAACTGTAAGAAAGTAAATCTACTCTTTTGTGCATAATAAGCCATACGATGCTAATGTGTTTGTGCAGTACAGCTGAATATGTTTTTAGAAACTTGTTCTGTTTATAAGCATATCTTTAAACCCCATCTCGCTGGGTTATATACAGTATTTATTCCTGTTGCTCATCAAAAGTAAGGAAGGAAATTGTAGCCAAATTATTCTATTATGCAGCAATATGGGTGTTATTGGAATGTTCAGAATGGTCCAACAGGACATTAGGACATTAATTAAGGCAAATTATTTGAATAATTCCAAACAAACCGGTTACTGGAACACTTAATGACTTTTTGCTGCTTTTGCTTTTTTTTTAAATGTTGAAAAATAAGTAGTTTCTTACAAATATCATTAAATAACTTTTTGCTGAAAAAAACAATGAATCACATTTTGTTAATCATTTTTCAACAAATCATATGATGAGAGAAGTTTTGTTCACATTAAATAGTTTGATTTCACACATGGAGAGGTTTATAGAAAACTTTAGACAACATTTATCTGGCCTAGAAAAGGAAGACAAATAAACAGCTACATATGCAGGAGAAAACTGATGCTTTCATAATTACTTTCAAATGATTTTCTTGGCTTTTTGATTTATCTTCTATTTCTTTGTATAATTTATTTTGAATCATCGTCATTTTGATATTACCAAAGTTATTAAAGTTCAGACTGACAAAAGAGCCTCAGCTGCATTTATCATTTGTTTCGTTTTTTCGGAGCATTGAAAAAAATAGGAGACCTTTCCAACAGTATTCATCAAAGTCTACAGCAGATTAAACAATGGTGGCTGCTTTAGTTTTCTTTTCTCAGCAAACAAAACACGCACTCTCATTCAGCTATAGATGTTAGACCTGGAATAAAGAATAGTTGTATACAGCCTGAAGTCAGAACATGAGGATTTCATCCGAAGCAGCTACTGCTGCCCGTCTGAAGGGTCATAGGACCATTTTCAAACGAGTCCATCATTTTACAGAGAGAACGATTATTCCCAAGTGGAGAACATTCAGGACCGCTGTCAATCTCTAAGAGTGGACGTCTCAGCAAGGTCAAAAACCCAAAAGCTGCATTTGGACTCTTCAGGGCCTGGTGAGCAGGTCAAAGGTCAATAAGCACAGTTAGAAAAAGGCTGAACAGGTTTGGCTTGTTGGTTTGGGCTGCAGGAGAAAGCTTCTTCTCTGGAAAAAGAAGATGGCAGCAGGGCTCAGGTCTGAACAGAGCTCCTGACTCCTGGAACAAAGAGCAGAGGGGAGACGTTTGGTCAGAACCCACAGAAACCAAACCCAGACCCCTCACAGCAGCTTTGGTTTGGGCTGGGTCTGCAGTATCAGGACCTGGGAGTCCACCAAGAACTCCTCTGGAAAGCTCTCAGAGCCAGATGTTGGGCCATCTGTCCCACAGCTAACACTGGCCGGTCCACAGCAGAAAGTCCAGTCAGAGTCCAGACCTCCGCCTGACCGAGACGCAGTGGGGGGGCAACAGGCTAAAGAGTTAACTCAGTAGCTGCAAAGAGCCAGCTGCTGGTAAAACTTTCTTTGGCAGCAAGAAATTGAAGAAACGCTATCTTGATGGTGTTATCAGTCTCTCAGATGGTTGTGGAGGAATGTTGGCCCTCTATCATTTCAATCAGGGCCTCAGCTAAAGTTTGCAGCATCATTTTCTGCACAGCTCCTAAAAGGAAAATGCTTTAGTATATATGTTTGAACTTTTAATATGTATATACACACATATAAAATGCATTTGTAATGTATATATGTGCGTGTCTCACGTTGAACTAACTGTAAAGATGCTGTGTTATTTATTCTATGCAATATTTGCTTGCTTTATGTTATTGTCGTGGTTAGACTCATTGATCTCAATGTCTCCCCCCCTTTTTTCTCCCCACCTTCATTCCTCCAGACACTCCACCCAGCAGCAAACCAACAAAGTTATCACCACCACCAGCCAACTCATCAAACAGCTCTCTGATATAATCAGCGGCTCTTCACGGGTATCTTGATTCCCCTCCACCCCTGTTCGACCATCAGTTAGAAGAATAAACCGCAGCTTAAATGGAATTTTGCTTAATGAAAGCTAATCTCATTTTGTTGCACAGCAAGACCGTCTGCGGCTGACTCGACTAAAGACTGAACTCTCAGAGTCTGTGCAGCGCTATGGGGACCTGCAAAAGGTATCAGATATGTTAGAGAACTCCTTAGTTACGAAGTATAAATCAATTTTGTTGTTGCGTTAATAAAAAGGGAATGATATAATACAGGTTAAAAGCACAACGATGCTGAATAAAGAGGAAATGTTGTTTTTCATAAGAGTCCTCTTGACCCTGTCTCTTCATTTGCTCGTCTTTCAGAAAATTGCCGAACGCTCAAGAGCTTTGCTCCCCCCAGCTCAGAAAGACAAGAAGGTGAGCAGACGCAGATGGTAAAGATCCGTTCTTTGTTTCAGTGTCATTCATGAAAGCGCAGCAGCGTGAGGAGGTGTTTCTCTGCTCAGTGCATCCTCACAAAGGTTTCTTTGAAACCTGCTCCAGTGTATTCAGTACCGTTACACTGAAGGCCTTCATTCATCACATCCATCTCTTACGCACTTACAACTGTTCTCGTGTGATTCTAATTTAGTTCCAGGTGAGACTTTTTTTTTTCTGTGCGGTCTTCTAAGACAATACTGTATTTCCATGCACACCTTTCAGGCGCCGCTGCTTTCACTTATATTGAATTCTAGGTCCACTGCTTTAATTCAGTCTAACTTTGGTGGAATTTTGAGGACCGCTCAAATGTTGAAGCAGCAGCAGAAGCACTTGCCAATCAAAACAGTGTGATTCGTTATGACCTTCTGACCTGTTTCCACAATGCCTAATATGAATTAAAACCTGTTTAAGCACTGCATCTCTCTCAGATCTCAGATCTATCAGAGACTGCAAATGTGTTTGATAAGTGAAAGTCAATCCTCCCAATAGTCAAAACTGCTGAGACTGTTTTTTAATTGACAAATTATCAAAAATAAATGGTGCACATTCGACTAAAGTGTGATGGAACCCTGTGCCGTAAGCACATCTTTTTCTCAGTCAGACACTGAAATTATGCTCCGCCTTTAAAAGGGGATCATAAACTAATTCTGATTGTTAAAGCACATATGCATTGAACGTTTTAAGATTAGATCAGACATTTGGCATAAACCATTCTCAACAGACATGGTTGTTTATAATTCAGGCTTGAAAATTGTGAGATGATAACTTTTTAGTCATTTTGTTTATGGTAACGAGCTGTGACCAATAAGTATACAAACTTGTTTTTTAAATTGTTTTTATAACCAGAACCACACATCTCTGAATGAGTCATCCAAATCATTCAATACTGATCCAGGAAGCCAAGGGTTTTAAAATTGTCCCCAGGCCTCCTTTCAAGGATTCGTTTTTCTCTAAAATCCAAGTCACTACTTAACAACCGGAAATAATTACTGTAGTCCACACTATTTTAATGATCTCCACTGACATGAATAGAAATATCTGTATCTAAGTTTATCCCAGGATCAAACAGATTATGTTGTCAAGCTCACAGACAAAAGCAAAACAGTCCACATCAAATTATTATTAAGATGAAACTGTTATTCATAAGAGATTATTTTTTAAAACCACTCATTTGTTTAGGTCCCAGCTGACGAAAACAATATGATGTAAGGTTTCCTTCAGCACTAAAACATAAAGTCACCAATTCTTTCTTCTCAAGGACGCCCTGTTCACACATGGTATGATAGTGGGTGTTTACAGTAGATTTAGGTGCCCTGCTCCTACATGATTGGCTCATGAGATAAATCCATCATAGAGCCTGCTCAGGTGATCTTCCCTCAGTGAGTGCATCATCTCCTACACCTGTGATTGGACTTAGGAGAATGGAGCCCCAGCTTTTCTTTAATATTTTAGTAAGGTTACCGACGTGCACCATGAACAAAGATCCTAATCCTGTACTGAGGAGTGCATCAGGAGCAGCTTGAATAACAATTCTGCAAGGTAGCATTGTTCCCTCTAACAACCCCTGAAAAGCCACTGTCGTACAGGGATGAGTGCCACATGGATTACCATACCACGTACCCCAAAAGGCTTATTATCATGGTCTCTACGCATTAGAGGGAAAGGGCTTTCAGGGTGGTAACCTGGATGGTACTGACTCATTTCGGTGTATCGCCGCAGGTGCATTAAGCAGAAAATACGCTGTGGAAGAATACACTAGCTGGACTAAGGCCAGATTATGTTTTAATGTAAGCAGGAAGACAAAGAGGTGATATGCAAGTTACTCACAGAAACATTCAAAATGGCTTCTTTATAAACAACGAGCGTGAGGTATGCATGTGCTGCGTTTCTTTGTGGAGGAGCGGGCAGGAGCAGAGGAGTGGTGACTCACAGTGTGGTCAGTAGACACAGCGCTGTGACTCAGCCCTGCTTCTGTCTGGTCCCTATGCTCTGACACATACCAGCCCCCAACTAAGAATTAGCTGTGCAGCCAGCCACACAGAGGTAGAACATATTAGCAATGCAAAAAGGTAAGTTGGGTGTTTCTGAACTTAGTCTATTCTTCCTCTTTGAACATGTCTAAAAGTGTGTGCATGTACAACATGTCACCTTATTCTCATCCATGCTCACAGCCCTACGCACCATGCTAGCATGTGCTGTTAAAACCGCCATCTGTCTACTCCAGATCATCTTAAAATAAATGTTATTTTCTGTTTTAACCATAGCAACCACTGTTACTTGTGACATAAAGTAAGACGGTGCTGACAAAGAGTGGGAGCTGGGATTAAAGCTTTTTGATTTGTGTCAGACATCCATCGTTCACACCTGCTTATGATAGCCAACATACAGAGAAATAACATATAATAACATTTTTACTCACTCATATTCACCTAATCGGGGTAAGAAAAAAACTCACGTTTGTATTTTTTTTTTCATATCCAGACATTTTGTCTTTTGAGTGTATATATATGGTGAACACCCACTATCATATATATGGAGACTATCTACAAAGTTAATTCAGAAAGTGAGGGAGTGAAGCTTTTTTTTTACCGTAGTGGCAAAGCCATGACCAGTTATTTCTGGAAGTTATCACTGTCTTTCACACCAAAGCCTGAGCTCAATTGTTCCCATTAACTGCTGTGACAAACCGAGGAAATGGCAGGCTTCACTTACTTCTTCCATGTCAGACAGCTGCAGAAATGTAGGATGAGGCTGGGTGCAGCAGGGTAAGGAAAGTGGGGCTTGACATTCTCCGATGTAGAAAATAACGTCTCCTTTTCAGCAAAGCCGCATTAAAGAGGTGGACTGATGAAACTAACATCATCAGTTTGCTTTAAAGAACTACTGTATAGCACCATGTGACACATTTCTATGTTCGGTTTGGTTTTATTGCCAATTCAGACCCACTAGTCAACCTAACATAAATTATCTAAAACAGAAAGACCTGGATTTAAAAAGAGATCTGTAAGCCCATGGAACAATTTGTAATTAATTTGCTACATAAATTTGCAAACAATTCCAAAGGACATTGAAAGAGTTACTATCTTATTTATTAAGAAACAGGAGTGTTGTCCTATTCCAGTGTGATAGAGGATTCCAGCTGCTCAGCAGCAGGGTCGGCTTTGTTGTATTTAAAATGTGTTTAAATGGTGAAACATCTGGACTGCAGACAGGTCTGTGCAGCATCTGGACTCTTCTCCTAATAAGCCATGTTTCTGGAGGAAGTGTTTTAACACATTTCCAGACGAGGGAGAAGATGCTGCTCTAAAACCTGGATAGTCAGGACTAATGGTATCCAGATGTGCAGGTCTCCAATCCAAATCCAAACACAGTGTGTGAAGGGAAAATAACACCATGGTTAATGTTACTGGTTTGACTGATCCGTCTGATATAGTCTCCAAATCCAGTCTCCAAACATTAGAAAGTGTAGAGATAAAGATGTGATGCAGAATTCCAATCACATAACTGAAGGCTGATGTTTTCTTGTGGGAGGTAAAAACCTAAAGTGTGTTTGTGTGTTCAATCTCACAGAGTCCTCAGACTCCATCCAATGAGCACAAGCTGGAGGGTCCGCTGTTTGAGGAAACGGCTGGTCTAGATGGAGGAGCTCAAGCTTTCCTGTCTGAGATTAGTGAAGAGGATGTGGAGGTCCTTCGTCAGAGAGAGGAGGCACTGCTCCAGATTGAAGTAAGAACTTGCTACGTCTGTGATGAGATGAATGGAATCAATCAAAATCTAAGGCCACGTTCACTCTGGAGCCTGAAGGGACCCATATCAGACTTTATGGCCCTAGGGTGACCTGTATCTGATCTTTACATGACAGTCTGAACTACACAGATATGACCCACCCCAGTTGGGTATTCGGTACTAAACGCGATACAAATCCAATTTTTCAAATGAGACCCAAGTCTGTACAGCCAGGTCGAATTCATCCGACCTGCACATAATTTACACTTGATAAACTACACTTTTCTATATCCTGCAAAGGAAAAACGACAACCCTGGGGGACCACATTTTAAGTGGACAGAAAACTCCAGGGATGTTATTGAAACTGAGTGATTTTTGTTAGCATTTCCCAAGAAATGCCCTACGCCTGGGTATAAACCTTCCTGCTTCAATGCCAAAGGAAAATAAAGGCCAAATATAAGGAGAATAAAGACCCAAACAACCTGGATTTCTGGTGACTTCAGGCTGCAGTGTGAACGTGGTCTAAGAACAACTCAATTTTGAAAGTTGCTTTTTAATAATTGAATAACAGCAGTAGGTGGTTTGATTAAAAACATATTGTTTGTCCCTTTTTAGACATACAGGTATGAAAAGTTTGCAAAAGAAATGGGTATCATTCCTCTCAAAATAGTAACACCACAGTGATTTACACCTGTCAAGTTAATAACTTCACACAAGATGCATCTTCTCCTATCTCCTATACCAATATCTATACCATAAAAAGCTTTTGATCACTGTTCCCCCAAACTCTTGTTCCTTTACCGGGATAGAGTGCACATGGTTCATACCTACATGGTGCATGATAAATGTGAATCGAGATGGACGGTTTGTTCTTGTGGTATGTTTGAACAGCCTGACTGACCTTAAAAAGTTGATGAGAGCACACAGCATTTTGCATCTGTAGATTTATATCTATTTTGTCAATTCAGATGGGATAGATGAACAACGATTCAAAGTGGCTTAGTTTTGGACAGGTGGAGAAAAAAACTACACGATCAATACATATTGTACATCGCACATCAGTTAGTATACCCCAGAGAACAAAGAAGTCAAGTCAAGTAGTTGTTATTGTCCATATTGCATGTATTCAGGATATGTTCTCTAACCAAAGTTGCAGAAATAAACATTGAACAATAATTAGCACCATTTAATGACGAAGAGACTAAATCTACAAATACAAAACCTTGAGGGCTGATAATCAATATAAAAGGTAGTAACAGCAGTGCTGTAAATCGAGTTTTTGTTTGTTTATTTCTGTATAGTTTTTTAGTGCTGAGCCATTTTCTCTATTTCTTACCCTTCACTTTGACTGGCATACTTGTAAACAGCAACGCGTGACTTCCATTGTTCAAGGAAACGGGTTTCTTTTGTGTATATGACACAACTTTGAATCATTGAATAGTAGTGCAAAAAAATGGGGGAAAAAAGGAAACTGTTGGGGAGAGATCCCAATGCATGGTGCTGTATAGGTCCTGAAGGGAGCGGAGAGAGGGGCCGACAATCTTCTCAGCGGCTCTTCTGATTGGTGGAGGGTCCTGTGGTGAGATAATCCACCTTTAGCAGGAGCCTCCCACCTTCAACAGGCCCCACAAAACACAATCCACACACACATCCGGTCAAGATGCTCTGCGTGGCCTCTCTGTGGAAGGTGCTCATGATGGGGGTGGGGGGATTAGCTCTTCTGAGTTTGTAGAGGAGGTCCTTGTCATCAAAACTTGTCGCTAGCCCAGAAACACTGAGGAACTTGGAGGCGTTCACTCTGTCCTCAACACCCTCGTTGATGGACAGAGGGCCTGTGCTGTGGGCTAGTTCCCCTGAAGTCCAACATAACCCCATTGGTCTTCTCTGTGTTCATAGAGAGGTTGTTGTGTTTGCGCCAAAAGGCCAGGCATCTCACCTCGATCCTATATTGCAACTCCTTATCGTTGAGCCCGTTGATGGATGATTGCACTCAATACAGAACTAAAGATTAGAAATAGCATTTTGACAAAGGTGTCTTTCTTGTCCAGAGGAGTAAGGGGAATGTGAAAGATTTGCAAACTGCTCGATGTCCAGGGAAAGGGGGAGGGAAGACCTGATGCGGTGGTTGTCTGACATTTTTAAGCTTTTTTGAGGGTGGAGGGGAGAGTGCAACTGGACGGCAGCCATTGCCCTTTTTTTTGGGACAGGGATTATGGTGGTGAAGCTTTTAGATCTCAGCCTGATTCAGTGAGATGTTGTAGATGCAAGTTCGTAGTGTCAGCACCTGGTCACCGGGAGTGGGGTGTTTTCTGTACTGTTGAATGCCTCGGACCAAGCAAAAAAATCATCCATCTCTGATGGACTGAATTCCCCCCAACAAGCTCTGAGAGTCTGCTATCACTGGAGCTTTGAGCCATCCTCTAGGAGTGCTGCCTGTAGCAATGGGACAGATTGGCTTTGGCTTCTTAAGGCCTGCCTGGTGTCCTGGTCTAAACGGAGAGATGGTTTTTGTGTATTCCTGGTTGTCTACGGTGTTTTCGTGGGTAACAGCCACTTTAAACACCAGCCAGTATTGTTGGAACTGGAGGATAAATGGATAGCCGGAATGAATACAGTGGAAAATAACTGAACATTGAATGGTGGGCGCCTTATAACCAACAGTTCCCCGACCAGTGAGCAGTATTTGCAGACAATAGCAGCGGTGCAACACCAAGCCTCACTGATGTTAACACAGAACCCACCCCGCCATCCACACAGGAACAAGTCAGCCACTCAAGCTGAACAGTGTGCTCCCAGATGCCGTTGTTGAGCCGAGGGAACACAAAAACACAACAGTCTCCGAGTTCTGAGTTCCACTCCACGAGTCAGATTATGCCGATATCGAGCAATTACAAGTTGTTTTTCTAGCAATAGCTCTAATACATAACCATAACATTTTGGCTCTCTTTTCAGCTTGGCTTTGTCAGGTTTTGTCCTCTGGAAGGAAGTGTCTCAGTCTGCTTTGTAGTTGTGGGTGGTACAGCTATGTGCTTTTTAAAACGTTCTGCTGCTGTAGAAAAGACTTTTTCCAGCCTCTTGTCAAAGCCTACACCGGTCACTGCACAATGACACATCAGGAGCAAATGCTTCATGTCATTTTTTACTTTCCATTGAATGTGATCCTCAGGATAAGGACTATTATGTTTTCTGTGGAAACTTTCTTTCCGGTCTTCCGTAAAGAAAAAGGAGCAAGCTAAAGGAACAACAGCTTGTTACATATTCACAGCAGGTCTCTCACATCCAAAGTAAGTGAAACTTTTTTTAGATTATCACAGTACACAGTTCAAACCACTAGATGCCCCTCCATCCTGAAAGATGAACATCTAACCAACCCCCTTTTTTGGTTTCCCAAAGCTAAGCCAAACAAAAGTCAGGTTTGGATTTGGAAAATAATCCTTTACATGCTGTGCTCAACATAATTCTAATTCAATTCAATTACAAAATACTTTATTTATCCAAGAGGCAAGGAAGGAAGGAAATAAATAATTCCATCCATCCATCCATCCATCCATCCATCCATCCATCCATCCATCC